CTGGGCAAGGCTGTCTCAAAATAGCAATAAAAAGCACTGAGAATGTACCTGATTGCAAAAGCCCTGTTTACATCCTTAGTACCATGCATTAAAAAAAGTTGTTATCCACAGATGATGGCGGGCTTTACTTCAAAATCTTAAGGCTTTAAGGCCCTGTAGGGGCCTGCTAAAGGGTTCAAACAGCTTCTCCATCTGTCACTGACATCTCACCCAAGTGGCAGAGCACCCTGGATCTGTTGCATAGCCATCTGTTATTGTGGGCCCTAAATGAAGCTTTTGGATCACTTGGGAAATGTAACAAAGCAACACACTCAAATGAAGTATTGTTGTGTTGCCTCCAAAGTCCAAAGAAGCCTCATAGCTTTGCACCTCTTTTTTTTGTTTTTGGGAGAGGCCAGAAGCAACAAGTTATTCTTCACTTTAGAAGGGATATTTTAAAAAAAAACCCACATCACTGGACCCCTAGAATTTTCCATGAAGTAGAAGGCCCTTAAATTTTTGTTAGCTTTACGTTCCTTCCCTTATATTTTTATCAGATTTATTTCCCATACTCTGATATGCGAATGTCTTACCCATAAAGTCTAGAGTCATTGCTACTTCTTGCTCACTGGGTTCATTAAGCATAATGTCATCAGTACAGTGGACCAGCGTGGTATCTTGAGCAAGATCCCTATGAAGTATATTGTGACACATGGATGGAGAGTTGATATACTTTTGAGATAGAACACTGAAGTTTTATTGCTGCCCTTTGTCAGCTAAAAGAAAACGACTTCTAGTAGTTTTTACTGACAGGTTTCATATGCACAAAAGCATTTGCCACATCAGTAGCTGCATATCAGGTGCAAAGAATGTGTTTATTTGCTCAGGTACTGAAATTACAACTGGAAAAGGAACAGCTACGATTTGAATTAGCATCTGGTTAAATTTATGATTATCCACGATCATTCTCCAATACCCACTTGCTTTCTGCATAGGCCAGATAAGTAAAGTGAACGGGGATGTGATGGGAATCACCACCCTTGCATGCTCCAAGTCCCTGATGGTAGTGTTAATCTCTGCAGTACAGTGGACCCTCGAGTTGCAACCAGCCTGACATATGAACAGCTTGGGTTAATTAGTTTAATGGAAGATTCATCTGCCTCTTGTTATCTATAGTGTGTACCCAGGTAAACATCCCGCTCTCAGCTGTATTGACTTACAACCAATTTGAATTACACCCAGCCCTTGGGAACTGATCGAGTTCATAAGTCAAGGGTCCATTGTACTTCCAGGAATGTGACATTATTTGTGATTTCCTATTTTCCTAGGTATATGTAGTTCTAGTGGTGTTCATTTGGTCTTTCCCACTATTCTAGCCCTTACCCCACACCTCAGGGAAGCAGTATAGCAATTCTGCCATTGTTGTATATGTGTATTCCAGTTATCATTCTTTAACTGTGGAAATAGCCACAGGATGGGTTCAGGGATCCAGCAGATCCACTGCAAGAGGGATTTGAATTAAGACTCCATTAATAACTTCACTTCTGCTTTAGCCCATAATCTGACTCGTGGACCACAGTGGTGTTATGGTCTCCTGGAATTGGTGTCATCTCAGAGCAGGTGTCCAGTAATCCTCTAAATGTCTTATCATTTCCTTTTCTTCATTGCACATGTACTGATAAAAGGGTATATGTCTCTTTAGGAAAGACTTCAAGAAAGATTAATAGTATAAGACTTTTGGGGCCAGGGATTTGGCTCAGTGGTTCCACTGCCTGCCTGGCAAGCACAAAGGCCTGAGTTCGATCCCCAGTATGTGTGTGTGTGTGTGTGTGTGTGTGTGTGTGTGTGTGTGTGTAAGATTTTTGTAGTATACAATGGACCATCCTCAATGAGACTTGGCCTCCCTTTCATTTATGGGCTTCTGATTGATTGATTGATTTCATTTATGGGCTTCTGATTGATTCTGAAATAGGCTCAAGACTGAGAATTGATTGAGGAGCCATGACTCTATGCTTCAAGTTAGACTTTTGCTTGCTTGGCCTTGAACTCTTTTACTTGTACAGATCAACTAAGATTTAATAGACTGTCCATCTGATTCTTTTCTAGGGACATCATAATCAAGTAATGTTATAGGTCTATTCTGATTATTGCTTTGACTCTACTGTCCACTGTGGTAGCTAGGTTTGCCTTTGCCTTGCCTTGCCTTTGGCAATTAAAGTGCCTCCACTTGACCACTACCACACTGGGATCCATTGCACTTAGATTTCCCTATTTAGTAGCAGCATTTTCCACTGTGATTTAAGAGAGCTCCTCAAGGATGCTGGGGCTCCTCTTAACATATTTGTAAGTATCTCACAGTTGTGACAAGTGTGCCTTTCAATCTAGTCAAGTTGGAGAGCTAATTCCAGGAATCCCAGAACTAATTCAGGAAACCCATCCTGAAGATTCTGTTCCTACAGAAATATTCTGAGTATCTGTTATGGCTTATATCTAGATGTTCCCCCAAAGCCTCATGTGGTCAGAGGTGGGACTTCTTAGAGGTGGCTGCATCTAGGATGTATGATGCTGGGAACAAGGATGTGATGCTGGGATTGATTCATGGTTCCATGCTAGGCTGGCCTGGAGCCAGCCAGATATGAACTGAAACCTCAAAATAAACCTATCCTCCTTTAATTGTGTGTTGGGCATTTTGTCTCAGCAACGAGAAAAGTAATTAAGATAGTACCCAAATGTGTATTAGGTTTCCTCAGAGAAATGGAACCAATAGCTCTGTGGGAGAAGGGACTGGCACGTCTAAAATTCGTAAGACAGGCCTACAGGCTGGAGATTTAGGTAAGAATTGATGTTGTAGTCTTAATTCCAACATCTACCGGGCAGTCCAGTAGATTGAAAACTGAAGCAAGGTTTCTGTGTTGCAGTCTTAAGGTAGAATTTATTCTTCTGCTGTCTTACACATAATCCTTTTCCCTTAGCAAGCATCTCAGTGGGTTGTGATTCTTTAACTGGTGGGGTGACGCAAACTTTCATTCCTGTGTTAGAGAAAACCAGAGCTGGAGAGTACTTAAAGCTGTACAAACAAATCTTTGTTAGAACTATTACAATAGAGAAAAAGAGACCTCAATACAGAACTGGGCTTGGTTCCAAGTACAGTAAGAACAAGTGGGGATTTATAGCTGAGGAGCAGGGAGGGGACCAGTGGAAAATTACTAACACTCACCATCTAAGGTAAGAGGGGATTCTGGCTGAAGCAACCTAACAGGATTTTTGCCGAGGACAGGGCAGAGTGATCAGATATCGCCTGGAAGATTTGATTAGACGTCAAGGGTGATCAGATGTTAAGGTTTGGGGATTCTGGCTAAACTGACTTAACAGGATTCTTGCTAAAGTTGAGTGATGAAAAGATAGACATGGAAGTACAAAAGTCAAGGCCCAATTAGGAAGGGAATTCAGAGGTGTCTAATTAAAATTTGGTGGAGGAGAGATTTGTCACCTCAAGGGTCTGCACCATTAGTGGTCTTACTTCATTTGAGTTGTAGTTTTCCATTGACTTTCATCACTGGACGTAAATTCACTAAGAGATCTCCTGTATTCCAGACATGCTCTTACTTACCTCTGCTGTAGAGTGGCTGTCCAAATCTCCATGGTATTTGAGATCAGTCAACCCAGTCATAGCCACAACACTTTCCTTTATCTATTGATTTCAGACTGGAGGAGCTCAAAGTGGCCAAGTGACCGTTGTATCTCCTGGTGGAAGTATTACTTCCTTTGGTATTAAGACATATCAAGCAGCAGAGCATGAAGTCACAGGCACAAGAAGAAAAATACTTTTCTATTTTATTACAAGGAGTAATAGTAAGGGATGTGATTCCTGGCCCAGAACTGAGGGGGCAGGGCTGCAACTCTCAGAGGATAGATCATGAAGCCAATGAGGATTATTTATAAGCCTTACAGCCTAATGGATTTTGCCCCGCTGTTTTGAACTTACTTGAACCTATGATTTCTTTTTCCATCCCAGTTTTCCCCCTTTTTTAAATGGAAATATATATTATATATGCAGTGCCACCATTGTTTTAGAAGTTGGCTTCATAGATTCACATGTGGAAAGGAAATTTAGCCCTGGATGACTGATATCTCAAGTCTCACCCATAAGTGATTTGGGTGGTTCAGATTGTGAGATTTGAGACTTAGAATTAATGAGGTCAAGATAAGATTTTTTTACTTAAGAGTTGATGCTGGAATAATGAAGACTTCTGAGAATGTGAGGATGGGATGACTATTTTGCACATGAAAAGGACATGAATTTTGGGAGACTCCTCTGGACTAAATTGTCTCCACTCTAAAGACTTATGTGGAAATCCTAATTCCCAACACTTAGGATGTGACCTTGTTTGGAAATTGAGTCTTTAAAGAAGTCAGCAAATCAAAATAAGGCCATTAGAGTGGCTCCTAATCTAATATGATTAGTGTCCTTATAAAAAGGGGAAATTTGGACACAGATGTGCAAACAGGGAGAAAGCCATGTGAATATGAAGGTAGAATCCAGAGTGATGCTTCTACAAGCATAAATAGAGGGAAAAAATGAGAGGACAAATGAGGAGAAAACAGCTGTGTCACTGGACTGATGTATGTACAAAGTAAGGAACACTAAGGATTTCCAGAGAAGCTAGAAGATGTGAGCAAGAGTTCTCTTCTAGATGTATCAGTGAAAACATGACCCTAACTGGCACCTTGATTTCAGACTTCTAGCCTTTATAGATATGAGATAGACTTTTCTGTTATTTTAAACACCCTGTTGGTATTACTTTTTTTAGCAGCCCTAGAAAACTGATGTGAGGATATTGTCATTCTCAGCTGCTGAGACATCAGAAGCATGTGATGGTGTCATCCTTGAAGTATCTGAGATTCTTTAGTCCCTTTTTACCTTTATGAATATTATTCTGTCCCTAATAAAATGTGGTTTTCTGAAGAACAAATGGAAAGCAGTTATCTGGACCCAATTCTCCATCATGTTCTGTTAACAGGGTTTGAAGTTCCCAAGCCAGAGGTCATCTTCAAGTTGGAACATGGAGAGGAACCCTGGATGTGGGAGGATACCCCGCATCATGATTATTCAGGTAAGTGAGTATGAACCAAGCCAAAGAGAAATGCAGAAGTAATTTCTTCACCAAGAGAGACCAATGCTTTTAATTTTTAAATTTTTATTTTCATTAGTAAATGTTTGTAGTACATAATGGTTATATTCATTGTGGAAAGTTGGTACATGTACATAACAAATCTTAATTCTTTTTATCTCCCCTTCCCTTCCCTCTTTCCCCCTCCCTCAGCCAATGCTTTTAAAATGGTATTATTATTACTCTTTTTAAAGATTCTAAATTTGGAAATTTGCTTGAGGGTAAATAGCTTTGCATTCTCGGTTACCAAATTGTTCTCTCCTTTTATTTCCATTACTCTTATAAGCTATCTTCTTTGCTAGGCTGTCCCAAATTGCCTCAACTCCTATACTACTCTGAATCCTATGCTAGGCTTCTCCACGATAGACCTCAGCTTTCGTGGATATTCTCTCCATCACATTTTAATTTTATATTACTTAAACCACACCCTCTATGTGTTTTTTGCCATACATAATGATCACATTCATCATAGGGAATTTGTACCTGTACATAATACAGCTTAATTCTTCTTTTCCCATTCTCTTCCCCACTCTTCAATCTTGTTCCCCTCCCAGTTTACAAAAGATTTATTTCCAGTTTTTTCCCTTCCATTCTCTTTATTTCAATCCCTTTTCCCTTCCTCCCCCTCCCCCTTTTTTCTCCCCCCCTTCCTTTTTCCCTTTCCCATTTGTACATGTTCTTCCTACCCCCCCAATATCTATCCTCCATTTTGCTCTTTATTTACCATTTGGGTTTCTCACACAAGAGAAACAATGCAATATTTAAATCAGTTCTTTATGTATTCTGATTTAGTTCACTTAAAATTATGGTTTCAATGTGCATCTATTTACCTAAAAATGAGTCAAGTTTATCATTCTTTATGGAAGAGTAGTACAGCATTGTATATAAAAACCACATTTTATTTATTCATTCATCTGTTGATGGGCATATGGGCTATTTCCAAGATTTAACTATTATAAATTGTATTGGTATAAACATGGGTATGTATGTATCACTTTTAACTCAGGAAGATACCTAGAAGGGAAACAGCTGGGTTCAATGAAACCTCTAGTTTTAGTGTTTTTGAGTGATTGTGCCAGTTTACACTCCCACAAGCAATGAAGAAGGTTTCTTTTACCCCCACAGCCTCACCAGCATTTGTTATTGGTTGATTTCTTGATAATGACCATTCTTTCTGGAATGAGATGGAATCTCAGTGTTGTTTTAATTTTTAATTTTCATCTCTTGAATGACCAATGATGTTGAACATTTTTTCATATTTTAAGTTGCCTTTTGTATTTCTTCATCTGAAAAGTGTCTATTCATTTCAGATGCCCATATTTTGGATTGGATGTTTAAATTTGAGGGGTCTGATTTTTTAAAGTTCTTTATATATTTTAAATATTAGACCTTCATCTGAGGAATAGTTGGTAAAATTTTTCCCCATTCTATGGGTTGTCTCTTCAATGTTTGTGGTTTCTTTTGCTATGCAAAAGCTTATTAATTTGATGTAATCCCAGCTGTTGATTCTTTGTTTATTTTCTGTGGAATCAGAATTTTGTTCATAAAGTCTGCCTATACCTTTGTCTTCAAGAGTTTTACCTAATTTGTATTCTAGCAGATTAACTGTTTCTGTTTTCATGTTTAGATCTTTGATCCATTTTTATTTTAGTTTACTGAATGGTGCAAGATATGGGTCTAGGTTCAATCTTTGCAATGTGGAAAGCCATTTTTCCCAGTACCATTTATTAAAGAGGCTATCTTTCTTCCAGGGAAGGTGTTTGACCCCTTTGTTGTGCTTGGGATGGTTTCTACATCTTCTGTTCTGTCCTATTGACCCATGGGTCTGTTTTTGTTTTTTCTGGTACCATGCTGTTTTCATCACTGTAGCTTTTTAGTATAACTTCAGCCAGGGATTGTGATGCTCTGCCTTGCCCCATTTCACTGACCTGGGCTTTTCTTTGTTGGTAGGTTTTTAATTGCATCTTCAATTTCATTGGCTGATATTGGGTTATTTAAAATTTTTATATCTTCTTGATTCAGCTTTTGTAATTCAGATGTACCTCAGAATCTGTCCATTTCTTCGGTGTTTTCCATCATAATAGAATACAGATTCTGGAAGTTAGTGTTGATAATCTTCTGGATTTTTGCATGATCTGTTGTGATTTCATGCTTTTCATTCTTAGTTACATGAATTTGAGTCTTTTCTTTCCTTTTTTTAATTTATTTTTTTGCTAAAGTTGACAAAGGGTTTGTCTATTTTATTACTCTTTCAAAGAACCAGATCTTTGATTCATTGATTTTCTGTATAGTTTTCTTAGTCTAAATTGCATTAATTTCTGCTCTGATGTTTATGATTTCCTTCCTCTTATGAGCTTTGGGTTTAACTTTGTCTTCCTACTCTTGAACCTTAAGGTTCATCACTAGGTTGTTCATTTGATCTCACTCTGTTTTTCTGATATGGGAGTTCACTTCTATAAATTTCCCTTGTAGGATTATTTTCATTGTGTCCCATAAGCCCTGTATGTTGTATTGGCATTATTGTTGAACTGTAAAAACTGTATAATTTTTTCTTAAATTTCATCTGTGACCCATTGGTTGTTTAAGAGGGTATTATTTAATTTCCATGTGTTTATGTAGATTTTGTGGTTTCTTTTGCCATTTATTTCCAATTTCATTGCCCTATGGTGTGATAAAATGCACAGGATAATTTCAGTTCCTTGCATTTACTTAATCATGCTCTATGAGCTAGTATGTATTCTGTTCTGGCAAAAGTCCCATGTACTGCTGAGAAAAACGTATATTCTATTGTTATTGGGTGGAACACAGTAGATATCTACCAAGTCCATTTGCTCAAAGGTTTGATTTTGCTTTGTTATTCCTTTGTTGATTTTTTGTCTAGTTGGTCTATTTGTGAGCCTGGGATATTGAGGTCCCCCTTTACAATTGTATGAGTGCCTATCTGATTTTTTTAGTGTAGCACTTATGTTTTAAAATTAATTTTATTGGTACAATTTAAATACACATAATGATCACATTCATCACACTTGATCTTAGCCAAAAGGCCAAGAAGCAATGATGATCACATTCATCAAAGAGAATTTGTACCTGTACATGGTATATCTTGATTTCTCTTTTTCTCTCAATCCCCTCCCCTCCTTTTAACTCTCCCCACCTTATTTATAAAAAGCTTTGTTTCCGTTTTTCATTCTTTTCTATTTCTTTTCTTTTCCCTTCCTTCTTTCCCCCTCCCCACTTCCTTATTTCCCTTTGCTTTTGAGCAATTTCTTCCTATTTCACATTATCCATTATACATTGTCACGCTTATTTACCTTTTCAGTTTGTCATACCCGAGAAACAATGTGACATTTACATATGTCCAGTATATTTCACTTAAGACCGTAGTCTTAAGGTACATCCATTTAGCTATTAATATATCAAGTTATCTTTCTTCATGGCTGAGTTTGACTCCATTGTATAAAAAAGTGCATCTTTTTTATTCATTCATCAGCTGATGGGCATTTGGGTTGTTTCTAAGATTTAGCTATTACAAACTGTGTTGCTATAAACATGGGTACACATATATCATTGTAGTATGAGGCTTTTAATTCTTTTGGCAAGATATCGAGAAGGGGAGTAACTTGGTCAAATGGGACCTCTAATCCTAATTTTTTAAAGAATCTCCACAGTGGTTGGACCAAGCAGTCTGCACTCCCACCCACAGTGGAAAAGGGTTCCTTTTTCCCCACAGTTCCACTAGTGTTTGTTGTTGGTTGATTTCTTGATATTAGACATTCTTTCTAGCATGAGGTAGGATCTCAGCATTGTTTTAATTTAACTCTCTTGAATGACCAATGGTGTTGAATATTTTTCATATATTTATCTGTCATTTGTACTTCTTCATCTGAGAAGTGTTTTTCATTCCAGATGCCCATTTTTGGATTGGGTCTTTAAATTTGGGGGGGTCTGATTTTTTTTTTCAGTTCTTGTATGTTCTAGATGTTAGTCCTTTCTCTGAGGGACTAGTGGCTAAAATTTTTTCCCACTCCGTGGGTTGTCTCTTTACTCTGTTGGTGATTTCTTTTGCTGTGCAAAAAGTTTTTAATAGGATAAGATCCTAGTTGTTGATTCTTTGTATTATTTTCCATGTGTTCTGGGTTTTGTTCATGAAGTCTTTGCTTACCCCCATGTCCTCAAGAGTTCTACCTATTCTCTCTTCCACCAGATTCAGTGTTTCTGTTTTAATATTCAGATCTTAGATCCATTTTGATTTAGTTTAGTGCATGGTGAGAGACATGGGTCTAGTTTTAGCCTTCAGCATATAGAAAGCCAATTTTTCTAGCACCACTTGTTAAAGAGGTTATCCAGTGAACATGTATTGCCATGGCTGAGTGTGTTTGTTGTTTTTTCTGCCTCTTCTAGTCTGTTCCATTGATCCTTGGGTCTGATTTTTTGCCAGTACCATGCTGTTTTTGTCATAGTTACTCTGTGATATAATTGCAAGTCAGAAATTGTGATGCCCCCTGCCTTTCCTTTGTTGCCCAGATTTGATTTTGCTATTTGAGGTTTCTTGTGGTTCCAAATGAATTTTAGGAATGATTTCTCTAGTTCTGTGAGGTATGTTAATGGTGTTTTGATTGGGATTGCATTAAATCTGTATAACAATTTTTGGGGCATGGCTGTTTTTACTATGTTGGTTCTTCCTACTCAAGAGCAATGAATATCTTTCCATTTTCTGATATCTGCTTTAGTCTCTTTTTTTCAGAGTAGTATAATTTTCAATGTATAGCTCCTTTACTTCCTTCCTTAGATTAAAAGTATTTTATTTTTTTGATGCTATTGTGAAAGGTGTTATTTTCCTAATTTCTCTAGTGAGTTTGTTATTTGTGTATAGGAATGGTATTGATTTTTGAGTGTTAACTTTGGATCCAGCTATGCTATTGAATTTGGTTATTAAATCTACAGGTTTTTTTATGGAGTTTTTGGGGTTTTCTATATAGAGAATAATGTCATCTGCAAATAATGATAATTTAAATTCTTCCTTTCCTGTCTTTATTCTTTTTATTTCTTTTTCTTGTCTAATTGCTCTGTCTGATGTTTCCAGAAGTATGTTCAATAGGAGTGGTGATAGTGGACATACTTGTCTTGTTCCTGACTTTAGAGTAAATCCTTTACAATCTGGATTGAAGGTTATTTTCTTCTAGGGCCGGAAGTACTTCACTCCAAGTTCTCCTTGCCTTAATGCTTGTAAATTGTTTATGGTAGGCGGCTTTATTACTAATATCAAGACCTCTTTATGAAATGACTTTTAGCCTTTGAGTCTGTCCCTCAATCTTGCCTTTTCTGTTTATTAGGGATGAAAGGTTGCAGCCTGTTTGACCTAGCATCCAGTTCTTGGGTACTGGACTATAGTATTTTTTATGACCCCTAGACAGTCTAAGTGCTGCCATAGAAGGAAAATCAATTGATAATAACAAGTATATCACCTTGGCTAAAGTAGTACAATCAGTAATAACAATAGTATCAAATGTAGAATGGAACATGACAAAGTGGTAATTAATAATTTGCTACCTTTAACCATAGGTACACCATTTATAGTAATGTAACAAAATCTAAGACAAATCAAGTGATTACATACAGTAAATATCCTCTCAATAGAATGATTTTGCCCTAAGTAGAGAAAATGTAATGGTAGAAGAGGAAAAAATGGAGAAATGGAAAAAGAAAAGAGATTAGAAGCAAGGCTGAAAGACTAAGGAAGATGACCCAAGCCTCAGGAACTGGTAAAGATAAGAGGGAAGGAAAGAAGGACAAAATAAAACTAAAACTAAAAATATTGTTCACATTCACAAAGAAACAAAAACAAACACTCAAAACAAACTAAAAGAAAAGAAAATAAGCTAAAAGCAGAGAGGGGGGCAGAGAAAGAGAGAACTTATCTGTGATGTCAAGCCTATGGTTATCTTCTGGGGTCTACAGTTTTTTGGCAGTTTCCAATTCAAGGTATCACTCTGCCCTTGCTGGTAGACAAGGGAGGCAGTCAGAGCCTAGATCTATAGAATGAGGGCAGGTTGCCAGTTCTGGGACTTTCACATCCACAGAAATTCAGGCTGAAAATGGCCTTTGTTCATGGGGAAAGGGCCTCAGTAATTTAACTTATAACAGTCTGGATGTTTCTTGCTGTCTTGACCATGGCTTCTTGACCATGGACGTCTCCTATGGCTATCCCTCACTCTGTCATTGGGGAAGTTTAACAGCCCTGAGATGAAGCTAACCTGTGGCTCCTCTGAATCCCAGGATCAGTTGGCCCTCCTCTAAAATGTCATCTGACCAACCACTCTCTCCAGAGGATAAGGGCAGATGCTTGGTCTGGAGTCACTCACTAGTGGTTGTAGCACACAGCATCCACTGCTCCATTCCACTGGTGTGTTTCTTCTGGAGGATCTCTAGAATTGTCTACTTTTACTGTATCTCTGTAGATTCGATCTTTCTGTCTCACCAGCCAGGAGCCAGGAGCCAGGGGAAAAGTACAGATTGCCCCTTCCTCTCTTTCTACATTGTAGTCTGTCTCTTCATTTTCTCTGTAGGATCCAGTATTTCCCTTCAGATCCTTCCTAGGTCCCAGGGATCCACCTCTCTCCTTCTTTTCTTCAACAAGTTGTTATTTTCTGATATCTGGATTCAAAATCTTAGAGAGGCTGATTTGTTGCTCTGTCATCTTCCCAGAAGTCCAATTCTTTATATATTCTGGATATTAGTCCTCCATCTGAGGAGTAGCTGGTAAAATTTTTCCCATTCTGTAATTGTCTCCTCACTCTGCTAGTTGTTTGTTTTGCTGTGAAGAAGATTTTAATCAACCATTTGTTGATTTTTTTTTTTTGGTTTTTTGAGACAGGGTCTCACTATGTAGTTGAGACTGACCTGGAACTCACTATGTAGCCCAGGCTGGTCTCAAACTCACAGTGATCCTCCTGCCTCAGCCTCCCAAGTGCTGGGATTACAGGCATGCGCCACCACACCCGGCTTCCCATTTGTTTATTTTTGATGTTATATCTGATGCATTTGGGGTTCTGTTCAGAAAGTCCTTGCCTATGTCTTCTGTCTTTATAGTTTTACCTATTTTGTCTTCTAGCAAGTTAAGTCTTTATTTTAATATTTAGGCCTTTGATGCATTCTTTTAATTTTATTATATGGTGATTGATATGAGTCTAGAGTCAATCTTCTACATGCAGATAGCCAGTTTTCTTAGCTCCACTTGATAAACAGGCTGTCTTTCCTTTGGTATATGTTTTTGGCCCCTTTGCCAAAGATCAAATGGCTGAATGTGCCTGGAGTTGTATCTGATTCCTGTGTTCTGTTCCATTGATTCACATATCTGTTTTGGGGTCAGTACCATATTGTTTTTTTGGGCCAGAGATTTAGCTCAGTGGTTCCACTGCTTGCCTCACAAGCACAAGGACCCATGTTTGGTTCCCCGGTACCAAAAAAATTTTTTTCTCATATTCATATTTTTTTATCACTGTAGCTTTGTAACATAACTTCAAATATTGGATTGTGATGTTTTCTGCCTTTTTCTTGTTGCCCAGGATTGCTTTAGCTATTCTAGGCCTTTTCTGGTTGCATATGAATTTTAGAATTGTTTTTTTTCTAATTCTTTGAGGAATATTGTTGGTATTTTGATTGAAATTGCATTAAATTTATATATCAAAAAATAAATTTATATATCAGTTTTCATAACATAGCCATTTTTACACTATTCACTCTGCCTATCCAGGAACAGGGATTATCTTTCCATTTTCTGATATACTCTTTGATCTCTTTTTCAAACTACTGTAGTTTTCACTATAGAGATTTTCATTACTTTGTTAGACCAATTTCTAAGTATTTAATTTTTCTTGAAGCTATTGTGAATGGTATTATTTTCCTAATTACTCAGTGGGTTAATTATTGGTGTACAGGAATGCTACTGAGTTTTTTGTGTGACTTTATATCCTGAATACATATATACAGTAAGTCCCCAACTTATGAAGAAGTTCTATTCTGGGAGAATGTTTTTTAAGTTAGACTGATTCATAATTCCAGCAATGTGAGTCTTACCTTTGATGCAAATATACAATATATGTTGCATTGCACTTCCTAGCAGTCCCTGCCACATCCCCACTGCTTTTCCACTTGCTCCTCGACATCCTGGGCTCTGATTGAGCCCCATACTACTGTACACAATTGCACTACAGTGAGCACACAGCAGCACAACTTTGACAATGTTCGGCAGACACATGAGCTACTTCCATGATTTGTTCTGATCTATGAGTGTTTGTAATGTGAGGTCTGTTTGTATTTGTGTAGTTTGCAACTCAGGTGTTCGTAAGTTACGGACTTGCTGTATTTCTTAGAACAGTGCCTGGAATGCTGTATCATGTAAGAGTTTGGTACATAATAAGTAATATATGTGTATTTCTTTCTTAGTGTTTGTTTACAATACATAATAGTTACATTTGTATTAGAAATTGGTACATGTATGTAACATATCTTGATTATTTTTTGTCATTTTACCCCCAAATTATATTCCATGTCATCATCATCAGACTTACTGATTTCTGTGTGTTCAATTTGGATTAGCTTATGTGTGCCCTTTAATTTGCTATTTATTCTTTATGTCAATTTTACTTTCTTTTTCCCCTTAGGTGGGACATTTGAGATGAAGAACTCAAAAAAGAGAATTTCTGGAAAAACTACATTTCATAGTGAAATTGAGGATGATGATACAAGGGACAACTCACTGTATTCCATTTTAGAAGAACTGAGCCATGATGCTGAGCAGATAAAAAGATATCAGGAAGAATGGGACAACTCTCTGAATCACACTGCTTTTGTTAATAAGAAAATATTGAATACAGAGTGGGATTATGACTCTACAGACATTGATGAATGCATACATCTAAGCCCAAATCTTATTCCTTCACAGAAAAAACCCCATATACATGAATCATTTGAGAAGCATTTTAAGCATAATTTAGACTTATATATTCATAATAAAAACAATGCAACAAAGAACTTTGATAAAATTATTGGCCACAGTCAAGTTTTTGCCCAGAGTACTTCTTATACTGCCCATGAAAATGTGCACACAGAAGCAAAGTTCTGTGAAAGTGATCAGTGTGGAAAAGTCCTCAGCTTCAAACATACACCCAGTCAAAATCTGAAATTCCCTGTCAGGGAAAAAGCAAACACATGTACTGAATTTGGGAAGATCTTCACTCACAAGTCACACCTCTTTGCACCTCCAAGAATTCATCCTGTGGGAAAACCTCATGAGCTTAACAAATGTGTAAATGTTTTTACACAGAAACCACTACTTAGTATATATCTAAGAGTTCATAGAGAGGAAAAACTATACATATGTACTGTATGTGGGAAGGCCTTCATCCAGAATTCAGAATTATTGACGCATGAGAAAATTCATACTAGAGAGAAACCCTATAAATGCAGTGAATGTGGAAAATCATTTTTTCAGGTGTCATCTCTACTTAGGCATCAAACAGCTCATACTGGAGAAAAACTCTATGAATGCAGTGAATGTGGGAAAGGCTTCTCCCTGAATTCAGCTCTCACTGTACATCAGAAAATCCATACTGGAGAGAGACACCACAAGTGCAGTGAGTGTGGGAAAGCCTTTACCCAGAAGTCAACACTCAGGATGCATCAGCGAATTCACACAGGAGAGAGATCCTATGTATGTACCGAATGTGGGCAGGCCTTCATCCAAAAGGCACACTTGATTGCCCATCAAAGAATTCATACTGGAGAGAAGCCTTATGAATGCAGTGACTGTGGAAAATCTTTTCCTTCTAAGTCCCAACTTCAGATGCATAAGCGAATTCACACAGGAGAGAAACCGTATGTATGTACTGAATGTGGGAAGGCCTTCACTAACAGGTCAAATCTCAATACTCATCAGAAGTCTCATACCGGAGAGAAGTCTTATATCTGTGCTGAATGTGGGAAGGCCTTCACTGACAGGTCAAATTTCAATAAACACCAGACCATTCATACTGGAGAGAAACCCTACGTCTGTGCAGATTGTGGGAGGGCCTTCATCCAGAAGACAGAATTAATTACACATCAGAGAATTCATACTGCAGAGAAGCCTTATAAATGTCCTGATTGTGACAAATCCTTCTCTAAGAAACCACATCTCAAAGTACATCAGCGAATTCACACCGGAGAGAAGCCATATATATGTGCAGAGTGTGGGAAGGCCTTCACTGACAGGTCAAACTTCAATAAACACCAAACCATCCATACTGGAGACAAACCCTATAAATGCAGTGACTGTGGGAAGGGCTTCACTCAGAAGTCAGTTCTTAGTATGCATCGCAATATTCATACATGAAATGACCCTATTTCTTAGAACTGAGAATTTTTTATCACAAAAGTCAGGTATAAGTGTGTATTATAAAATTCACCTAAGACAGAGCCAGGCATGGTGTTGCATGCCTGTAATCCCAGCACTCAGGAGGCCGCCTGGGCTGCATAATGAGTTCAAGGCCAGGCTAATCTACATAGTGAGACCCTGTTACACACACACACACACACACACACACACCCATCTATCCAAGACAGATCCTAGATGAATACATTATATGAAAAAAAGCAATAATCAGACAATATTATCTGACATGAGAAAAATTATTCAGAAAAGACCCCTCTAAAAATATAATGAAAGAGACAGAATCTTTATATTTGTACAGTCTCACAAAATACGAAAGAATTCATACTTGGAAAAAATGTCATTTTAATACTTTGGAAAAGACCTTCCTACATGAAGTATTGTAAGGCAAATTATTACCAAAATCTTTATAGGAAGGAGGGTGCAAAATTATGTAAGTGGCAGTCATATTTACTGTGTCATGGTAAATATTTCAAAGTAATAACAAAATGAAAGATTGGACAATAAAATATATTTGATGTATAGCCTCACAGTTCTGTACGGTATCTGGCCCACCACATTGCATAACAGGAAGAATAATAGAATTGAAATTTTTTCTTCAAATCTAAAATGATCGGGCCTATCAAATATGTCTTGCATGTTTCTAATTAATAACTCTGCAAGTTAAGTCATTTTGTTTTGGTATATGCACACATCTGCAGATATAATTTTACATGAATACATAAATATAATCCTATCATTTATACTGGTATCCGTGACATAGTATTTTTGTCTTTCATTGTGGTACAGAGCAAAATGACCACAGGTTCCTCCTACCATTTTATGCATGTCCCCTTGCAGTATTCCTTTGCGTTTCTTTTTTTTTTTTCATTGAGTTTATTGGTACTTTTTAGGTATACAGTACAGTTGCATTCATCATTAGGATCTTGTACCTTCACACGATATGTCTTGGTTCTCATTTTTTCCCCATGCTCTTACCCTCCCTTCATCTCCTCCACCCTTCCCTATTTACGAAGACTTTGTTTCCATTTTTTCCTTTTCTCATTTTTTCTTTTCCCTTCTTTCCTTTCCCCTACCCCCCCCCAATTCCCCTACACCTTTAGCCCTTTTCTTCCTATTTCACATTATCAGTCAAACAATTTGAATCTTATTTATACTTTTAGTTTTTCACACCAGAGAAACTATTCTTTGCTGTTTCTCTTATGAAGAAATAGCTTTGCTTTCTCTACTCTTTGCATTTAAACTTGGCCATGTCATTTGTTTTGGCCAATGGATATTGGCAAAGAGATTCAAGAAAAGGTTTGAGAAGTGTGAAAGCCTGCCTTTCTTGCAGCTCTTTGGAATCCTGAGACTCCTCTGTGATGAATCTCAGATTACCCTACTAGGGGACATGAAAAAGAATATAAAACAGGCAAGCCAGCCTGGCTGAAGCTCCAGAGACCCCCCCACCACACACAAACAGACAAGTAGCCTGCCAACTATCAGACATAGGAGTGAGGCCTTCCTAGACCTCCAGCCCCAGCAAAGTCACCTCAGCCCAGAATAGCCATTCTAGTTACCCCAGCCAACCTGCAAATTTGTGATATAAATAAAACAATCATTGTTTTATGTAATATGCTATGGAGGTAGTTTGTTGCATAGAAATCCTAAGTAATATTTAAAAGAATATATGTGTGGAGTGTATTACACCCAAACATAATGTGGCATTGGCTTTGGGCCTGTGCAGCAGGTGGAGACTGGAAAAGCTGTGAGGAAAACTGTTAGCAAAGACTGGAAAAGATGGCAGCCCACATTATGTACTAGGAAAAAAATGGCAAAAACAGTTACCATGCTCTGTGGAAGATAAAGAATGAGTCAAATAAACTTGTGGATCTGACTAAGGAGATTTTCAGCAGAATATGGAAAGTGCCAGTTTGCTTCTTTTAGCTACATATGACAGAGGACAGAAAGACAAATGAATTAAAGTAACTGTTCTACTGGCAAGCAGAATCAGAAGAAATCCAAAAAGTCCAGGGCTTACTGAGTTGGGAAATAACTGTTTCTTCTAGCTCATCTCTCCAGCCATCAAAATATTCTCAAAGCAAAAAATGACCTCAGGGTAAATATGAAATCATGGGTGTGTCCATAAGACCCATTATTGCAATGTGTGAAACATTGTATTGGTGCTTGGGAGAGTCTCAGCTAAACTAATGGGCATCTAAAAATCTTTGTGACATCCTACTGCTCTGAGAAAAGCTTGTCTTAAAAAGAATTGGTGTGGCATTTGGGGCACAGAGTTGATTAACCAGATTTATAGGAAACCAATACGTTTTGTAGTAGAGTTTTACCAGTGAAACTACCTCCGGGTTGAGCTGAAAGGGTTTGAAGCAATTAAAAAGGAAAATGGGCTCTGAACTTCCCTTTCTAACTTCTACAAACAAGATGCAATCCAAGAAAGTTACTCAGCTGCAAACATGAACTATTTCTTATGAAAAACAAAGGATGTCTCAGAGGAAAGACCCAAGAACTATGTATTAAAATGGACCAGGGAGCCATTCCCAGGGACAGCTGTGCCATAATCAAGAAGCACTATCTGCCCTTGGAACAAGGGACCCTACTAACATTTGCTTTGTGGAATTTCAAACCTGTTATGAAAAGGTGACTGATATGTGCCTCTTGTTCCTCCACTTTTTAAACAGGAGTATTTTACTTATTCTATCACTGTACAACCATATGTATGGGAGGTGGTGTCATATAGCTTGTCATTTGGCTCTCAGGTGTCTGGATCAAGAAACTGAAAAATCTAGCCAAGGAGCCCCAGTCACATCTGAACCTGATACAAAAGACTTGAAACCCTAGATTTGAACTTGATGCCATAATTTTGAGATATTTGGAGGTCCTGGAATGGAAGTATACTTTGCATGAGGTGGTAATGTAAATAATTTGTGACCAGAAGATACACTGTGTTAGAAATATGCTACAAAGTTCTCATGTCTCTGTATATATGTGCCTTTATTTATCTTTGTGTGTCAATTGGGATCATTCCTATTCGTTTATCACTGATCTCCACTCCCACCCTGGCTCTTTCAGAACTACTGACCTATTGAAGACATTTTCATCTCAGTTCTTTTATCTCTTATTTTTTAGTGTTTCCATTTGATTCTTACAGTGTCTGTTTTTCTGCTGAATTCCCCATCTATTCATGCATGTTGTTCTTGTTTTTTACTATTTCCTCTGTCTTAGTTTAGACTACTCTAAGAAAGCACTATAAAATGCATGGCTTATAAACAATAGAAATTTATTTTTTCTGGAAGTCTGAGATCATGGTATCAGTATGGTTGGGTTCTGCTAAGGACTCACTTTAGGGTTGCAGAATCCATTTCTCATTGTATCTTTCCATGCCAGACTCCTCTGAGATCCCTTTTGTAAGGACAGTAGTCCCATTGATGAGGGTTATATCCTCATGACTTAACTACTTCCCAAAGGCCCTAACTTCTAATACCATCACACTGGGGCTTAGATTTCAGCCTACAAAATTTGAAAGAACACAAACATCTAGTCTATAATACTTTATACATATTAGTCATAGTTATTGTAATTCCATGTATGGTAGTCTCAGTAACAGGGCCACAGTCTAGGTCTACAGATTGATTTATCTCTTGACAACAGGTTGCTTTCTGGTGCTGTTTTGCATCTAATAATTTTTGACTGAATGCTGGACATTGTATGTAGGATAGTATAAATTGAGGTAAATAGTATTAATTCCTGGAAATAGGCATGGCTGCTCTTCTGATAGGCCATTGGCATAGTGGGATTGAGCTCATCTAGTCAATAGTTGGGCTAGTTTTTTGTTTTATTGTTTGTATTGTAACTTTCAGTGTACCATAGACTTCAAATTTCTCTAATGTTATCTTGTATTTGTAACAGACACTGGTTTCTCAGAAAATTTTCTCAATCACCCTGGGCCACACTTGGATCTAGGCCTTTCCTGTGTGCTTACATTTCAGTGAGGGTCTCCTTCCATACTCTTGCCCCTCCCTTAGCAGTAAATTGCTCTTCTTAGTTGATTCTTGATGACCTGGTTTGGAGGGAGGGGCAAGAGTTGCTCTATATCCCTGGGTCTTTGTGGGTTTTTTCATTGATCCTGTACCTCATGGTCTGGGCTCAGGATGGTTTCCTCCCCTTCTATCTTGGGTAGATTTTTTTTCTTTTCCCTTCCTCTCATCACAGTGAATCTTCACCTGTGTTCTAAGGTTAACAGTTTGATGCACTGTCCCCTGTGCTTAAGGAGAGTCGGGTCCTATTAGGTCTGTAGGTCATTTCTGTGTGAGCAGCTTCACCCTTCCAGGTCTATACCATGGAGAGAGGCTTCCTCCAGTTTCCTATCCTCCTCCCAGTGTTTCCTTGTGAGCACCCAGCAGAAGTCTGTGGAGAGAAGCCTGCAAATGTGTAGATCGTTAGGTCTCAGGGAGTCTGTATTTTCATGCTCTCTCACTCCCAGCCTTTAGCAGCTCAAAAAATCCTTGCTGAATTCTTAATGTTCCTCTGCTGGCCCCCATCTTCCTTCCTGCTCTGCCACAGGTGACCCAGTGATAACTGCCTGCATCCTCCATAGCACTTCCCTTTTCTTACATCTTGAGCTAGTTGGTTGCTCTGTAATCTTAGCTTTCTGGTAGATTCACGAAAACTTATGGGTTTGTAGACTATTTAGCTTTTTTCTTGTTATAAGGATGTGAGTGATGCTCTTTCCAGATGTCTACATCCTAGGCAGAAGCCAGAAGGGTGGAGAGTCTCCTTTGGCCACTATGATCAGAATTATGCCTCTTTTTAGTGTTACTTTGCCATTTCACCCATCAAGAGAGAAAATCTGTTTCAGAAACCCTTGAAATTGGGTTTGGCCTTTTCTTTGACCAATAGAACAGTAGCAGATAAACAACAAGCAGAGGCTTAAAAAGTACATGCACACTGAGCTTTCCCCACTCTTGCTGCTTTTTGGGATCCTGAGCCCATGTGTAAAATGGCCTGGGCTCTACTGTTGGAAGATGAAAGACCTCATAGAACAATGATGGAGCAGACAGACTGTCTCAGATGAGGCCCCCTAGACCAAC